ATTTTTGTTGGGTGCCTAGCCATGTCAGTATAGCCGGTAATGAGGAGGCTGATAAAGCTGCCAGAACATGTCAAGAAATGGACACAGAAGTTCCCTGCATCCCATACCTGAATTACAGGTCATTATTGAAAAGGTAGATTCAAAAGAAATGGCAGGAGGAATGGGATACTGAAGTCCACAATAAACTCCACCGCGTGAAACCTGTTCTTTCTGAATGGGCCAGTTGCCGACATAAAGAGCGTTCTTATGAAGTTGTTCTTTGTCGCCTGAGAATTGGCCACACTCACCTCACACATGGCTTCCTTCTGTGAGCTGAGGATGCTCCAACGTCTGAAGAATGTGATGAAATGCTCCGTCTTGCACATTCTCATTCAATGTCCGAAATATCATGAGGAGCGTCGCTCCAACTTCTCACGGTTTTGTTTATAACCGTTAGGGCTTGAATATTTTTGCCAAATGTGAGCTCTGTGGATAATTGCATTGTAATACATCAAAGGGATGGGCACTGAACGGAAATTTGGATTTCACGACTTAATGTCGCAGAAGCGTTGAACGGGACGTTACGACCTCCAGACCCTTATTCGTAAACTAATGTCTCAAACGGATGGACATATTTTTGAAAAAGAAGGGCACCATCAAGCAAGGACTGACATCATGAACCTCCTGGAAGAGTTGAGAATGAGGGGAAGTGGCCTTGCTCCTATCCTCTCCTCGCTTCGGTTCACCAGCTCGACGGGACGAAGCGAGGAGGAGAGGGAATGAGAATCGTGACAGCCCATGTCTTGTCGGCCGTGTTCAATCGCATATTTCTTTTCCAAAAATACGGCCATCCGTTAGACATATCGCTGTACTAGTGGTATTTTTGGGCTCTGCAGTGTCCCGCCCAGGGTGGCCAGTTTCGCTTATTATAAGCGGATTTGGGCTTCTCTTTTCACTGAGTCGCTGGTAGATTTTTCCAGTCGCTTGTCGCGTTTTTCGGGCTTATTCGAGATTTTTTTCGCAAATATTGTTATTTTATTGTTCGTCATGCTCCTTGACAGCGCGTTTGTTGTCAAAAACACGAAAAACAGCATGACCGTTTGGTGCTGCGGTTAGTTGGCGCAAGCTACCGTCCGTCACAAAGTACAAAACAATTACTAGCCATTCACAAATGTTTTGCCGCCTTGCCCATCTTGCAAGTCGGCAGTCGCGGTCGTCGTGTCTAGTGTCTATTGTATATTGCGCAAAATGGCTTCGAAGTGGTCGAAGTATGGCAAAAGATATTGCAAAGATGTGGAAAAGGAAACACAGCTTAAGGACTGGCTGCGACCAGTCACCGGAGACCATAGGTCGGCATTACAGGACCCACTCACTCACCATCACATCACAAAAATTGGAAGCCCATCAAAGCCATTTGCAATCACATCACAAAGTACACCACCGTTCAAAAGTCACAGCCCTTCACATCACAGACTTCAACCATGCGAAACACTCATAGCCAATCACATCACGCTCCCTCAAACTCGCCCCCATCACAGCTACTCACACTCATGAGGAGGTCACACTCACAGCCAGTCACTCACATCATGGCCCCTCAGAGTCGCCCCCATCACGGCTACTCACACTTATGAGGAGAGGGTCCCGCTCACGGCCCCATCATGGCTACTCACGCTCATGAGGAGGTCCCACTCACGGCCAGCCACTCACATCACGGTTCTTCAGAGTCGGCTACTCACGCTCATGAAGAAGAGGTCCCACTCACGACCCCATCACGGCTACTCACACTCATGAGGAGCTCACACTCACGGCCAGCCACTCGCATCACGGCCACCCTGCCACTCACAATCACGGTCTCGCATCCCCTCGTCGCGGGGCTTCGTCGCTATACGAGCCGAGCCAGCCGAGTGGGCCGGCGCCTACCGCTCTTATGTTTGTTTTGATTTGTTCCTAGTTTTTTGGTTTTTTTTTAGTTCTTAACATTGAACCAGAGGCATCCATGCCACGCAGGCCCCACAGCTCTACTAAAAAGAAAAAAAAAAAAGATTAAAAATAACTATTATAACAAGAAAAATGAACCCTGCAATGTTGTTTTTTTTCTTTTTTTCCTTTCAATTGCACCGCGCGAAACGGCGAAACCCACTTTCCCAAGGTCAACCAGATTCGGGACGACGACTGCCTGTTGTCCCCAGACCCCATCCCATGGGGAAAACCGCTCCGGGACAGGCAGGGAGCGTGTTCTCCGGCCAGCATGGTTGCAGCGCTGCAGGCTCAAAAGTCGAGACCCGAAACTCTTGTCCGCCGTCTTGTTTCCGCCCATCGAACGTCGTTTCTGGAGTGCAGACCGCGAACTATACACATTGAAATTTTACACGGTGCGGACTATCCGCAGGCTTGTTTAGTATCACAAAACAAATTTTGTGAATGAAGGAGTATGCTATATATATATTTATATATATATATATATATATACACAGTTGAACCTCGATGTAATGAAGTCGGTAAAATTCGCAATTTACTTCGTTACATTGAAATTTCGCTAAATCGAAATTTGGCTTTAGCATGCGAAAAAAAAAAAAAAAAATTCCGAAACATTTTACGGGTATGAAAACTCACCGAAAATGACATTTATTTAGGGGCAAAGTAGTCCGCGAGTTTTGCTTGCGCCTTGTCCGACAGTAGCAGCGGCGTCGGCGGCGTCATACGTCATACGGCGTTCGAGCGCCCAGAGCGCTTGCACGGCATCTTGCTGCCCATGCGACGCCGTGTACCTCCTCAGTATGTCCATTGCGTCGAGCACTTCCCGAGTGCTCGTGATCTCGGCAGTTTCTTCAGGGTGGCGTCCAAAACGTTTGCTTTCTCATCCAAAGAAAGAACTTTACGTTTCCTTATGGCAGCAAGCACGTGAGTGAACCGCCCAGTTGAAAAATAGAGCTGTTTAGTTTAGGCGGTGCCAATGTTTCCAACCGACACAGCATTCTTGCCCGCACAGTTTACTTGCCCCTTTGCGCCCACAGTGTGCTTGCGCCTTTGCTTTACATCACGCTCGCAAGACGATCAGTCAGTCAGTCAGTCAGTCAGATGGACCAAAACCCTTTTAAAACAGGGCGGGCGCTCCTAGGAGGAGTGCCTCTGGTACCGTAAATAAAATAAAAAAATAGTCACTTCTGATGTGCACTGTTGAGGTCGTTGAGGTTGTTCAGGCGTTCCGCTCTAGGCAGGGGGTTTCGCGGTGCGGCAAAGTCGCTCCCACGCCACTAGGCGGCGTTTTGTTGCGTCCGTCGAATGCGTGCGGTTTTTACGGTCACCGTCGTCACCGCTGCCCTCCTCGGCCTCTTCTCCGTAGCCAAGGGCCTGTTCTACACCGCACTGCAACGCGCTTTGCCCTTTCTGGTCGATGCCACTGCGTTGTCCCAAGATGTGTTCGACAGTCTCCTCGTCGCCGCCACAGAGCCCGCAGTTTGGGTCTTCTCCATAGAGCTCAAATCTGCGTCTCTGGGTCAGTAGGGAGCCCGTTCGAGCCTGGAACAGCAGCGCGCTGGCTCGGTCTCCCCGGTAGTGTGGGATAATCGGTCTTCTCCTAGATGGCACTGCCCGTGCGGTCGCGCGGTCGCGCCATCACGTCGCACGTCGCTCCCCCGCTGAAGTTGGCTCCCGCGCTACACGCGGTACAGTGGACTATGATGATCAGTGAATGTCAGTGGTGATGCTGTTATGCCGTGTTAACTTTTTGCTCGGCATTTTCTGGCCAGCCTCGCGAAATCCGCTTTGCCGCATGCCTCGCCGGCGCTACCGGCGCCGCATCCTCGGGCAGCCTAGGAACGTTGGAAGGCCTGTCCCCGTGAAGTAACCTATCAAGCGCTCGCGTTTGCGCATAATTTTTTTTTTTAACCACAATTTTTTTGCGAAGTTGTTTTTTAGAGTTGATTTATTTATTGCCTTCTATGGAAATGGCGCTTCGTTATATTGAAATAGCAGCAAAATAGACTTCATAGGGACTAAAAATACATGGGGTCTATGGGCAAGAAATTATGAAAAATAAAATACTTCGTTAAATCGAGGATTTCGTTACATTGAAGTTCGTTATATCGAGGTTCGACTGTATATATATACATACACAGGGTGTCACAAAAGAAAGTTTACACGGTCTTTTTTACCGCAAAAATAAACTAGGCATCGCCGAACGCTCATTCCCCGCCCAAAGGTAGAGCTAGAGGTCACAGCCAGATGCCAAAGTTTCAGCCCGATTCGATAACTTAATCAAAAGTTATTAGTGATTTTCTGAAAATTTCAATGGGAAAATGGCGACTGACGGTGTTTTCAAACACATGGGGCTCTATGGCACCAGAAACCGAAAGCGGGCAAAGATGGGCTCCATTTTCCCATTGAAATTTTCAGAAAATCACTTGTAACTTTTGATTAAGTTATCGGATTGGGCTGAAACTTTGGCATCTGGTTGTGACCTCTAGCTCTACCTTTGGGCGGAGAATGAGCGTTTAGCGATGTCTACCCTATTGGAAAATCCTGTATAAAATTTCTAATGGGTCCTGTATAAATATTTTTACCAGCCTATTGGATATGGGTCCCATAGATGTATACAGGACCCATACATTCATACAGGACTCGTATAAATGTACAGGACCCATACATTTATACAGGACCCCAAGCAACCACGTATGTCCGTCGGACGTCCGAACAAGAGCCGAATATCCATTGCCAGGGAAGGACGTCCGTCGGACGTACACTGGACATCCGTTTCCGTACGTCCAAATTCGGACTAATAGTGGACGTCCTGTGGATATACAGAAATGGATGTCCGAGGGCTGTCCATTTGTGGATGTTCGAACATATCCCAATAGGTATTGGGAAACCATTCAAAAACAGTTACTTAAAAGTGGTCCCATTCTGCACTAAACGATTATCATAACAGAACCTTTTTGTGCAGAGGATATACCTTTCCCTAATGAAGATAGGTTTGAGGCCCCCCCCCCCCCCCCCCCCCCAAGATTCTTTAACAGATTTGATGGCCCCTTCAAGATTTCCTGAGGTCTTAAGAGGTCCCATCACAGTATTTCCTGAAGTTCCATAGGGGCCCATCACAATTTTCTGCAAAGTCTGATGGGCCCTCTAGGATTTGCTAAGGGTTTGAGGGGCGCAATAGATGCTTTCTGGGGTCTCCAAGATCATTCAATAGGTATGACGGGGAAAAAAAGAGGTGGACACATCGGTAATTCGTTTTTTTTTTTTCAAGTGTTGTCCGAAGGTCCATTAATAGAGGCCTAGAACCTTAGAATTGTAAGCTCCTTTCAAGCTGATACTGTGTGCGGTAAAAAGAAAAACAGTATTGTATGTTCTCGACTACAAGTAATCAAATGAATTGTGATGCATGTGTACTACTTTTTAAAGTAATTTTGCAATCATTTGATTACATTTTACGTAGTGATGTCGCAGTGCCAGTTGGCCTTATGTTTCGTAAGCTAGAAGGAAACAAGGATGTTAGACAGCAAAATAGTTTTTTATTTGCAATCAGAACCAGGGCAGAGGCACCTTTCTCACACTTGAAGGTAGATGCCTACTCTCCCTTAGAAGTGGTGCACCTCTCCTTTGCGCGGCGAAGCCACTCCTTGACTTCCGTTTCCACCTCTTTTTTCGTAGACTCTTTGCAGTGCTTTGTCCGCTTTATAGCAGCTGAAAGCAATAGATGACCCTTATAGTACAACTTAAAAAGGCAGGGAATTGCGTTGCAAACTTCTACTTACCAAAGATCAATTTGTACAGCTTAAGGCTACGGAAAACCTTCCCTTTGCGCCCATCCATGCTGAACTTGGCTGCAGCTTCGTCACTAATCAGGTGTGCAAGCATAGACCTTACAGTTGTTTTGATAGACAGGTCCCCAAGGGAGGTCAGCTCCACAACCTGGAAGGAACGTACAGAGCACGACACAGTTAATACGAACAAGACATAGCCAGTTTTCGCTGTTTTACTCTGACCAGTGAAACGCTATCCCCAAAGCTACTTATATCATGGAAAGGGTTCATCTTGGGGCAATAACCTTGGTTATAAGAAAATGCAATCCTCAATTCACTGTCCATGCAAAATGCCAATGCCGTGTTTGAGCACATAAAACGTGGGGCTGGTGCCTGGGGAACGTAAGACATGACATAAGGAGCATTACGATACCCAGAAAGCAAGTATAGCCAAAAATGTTTGGCATTCAAGGTTAGCTGGATAGAAAGAACCTGAGCATGAATGGGTTTACAGCTTGTATTAACTGGGCTAGGCTTTACAATTAGCCAATTCACACCCCCTCTTTATCTCCGAGGCCAGTATGAGTGAACTGGTGATACCTTGAGAAAGATTGAATGAATGTGAGGGCCCAAATTTTATTTTATTTGGGCAGTTGTTTACACCTCCTAGTCATTGTTCTATCTCATTAGTCATTTCCCATGCTCTAAGATCTGGAACTGTGGGACAGAGTTGCCATTTGAAGAAATACGGAAGTAGTCAGAGCTTGCTCTACACTCATGAAATAATGCTAAAGTATAGCACCATTACAAACACCTTTGTTGCTTACCAGAGAACAGGCAGTCTCACCCCTTCGATGCATCTCGATTTAAAATCACAGCTTGCTCCTAGCTTATTTGTTATCTGCATGTCTTAACCTTAGCTGCACACTAGGGATAAGACATAACAGCAAAGCCTAGAGAATGCAAACACCAATACTTGCCTCAGTAAGTGACAAAAACTAGAGTATGGGCAGGCATTGATAACAGCAATTGCTTACCAAAGCCTCACTCGTGGCATCTGCAAGAGCGCCATCAAACACCTCAATTGCTTCAGGAGTGTCGAGGGGATCAACGAGGATCGGCTGGCTGGGCTCTACAACGAAACTCTCACGCGCTCGTAGCAATGTCGAAATCATGTCCATTATCTCCGTCTGCTGGCTCCTCATGACGCTCATCCCATTCAGCACCCGTCGCTGAAACTCTGCATGCAAAGAAAAGGCTTGAAATAAATATTGGCAAATAAAATTAGTGCAGGCAGGAGACAACATCCTACTTACCAGCAGCACTCAAGATCCTAGCAGTGGCCCGCAGATCAGCTAAAAAGAAAAAAAAAAGATGGCAAAAAGTCAAGAGCTTAGCCATTTCAAAACTATTCAAAGTTGTGCAACCATGCTGTGAAAGAAAAACAATTGAAATCAAATTAGCTTACCGCAGGTCGAAGCACTGGTGCTAGGCGTCATGTGTTGCATAGCCTGCAGTGCTGAAAAAATTTAATGAAGGACACACAAAATATCTTAATACGCAGCTGCAACACAATTCTGCAGTAAAGTACCTTGATCTAATCGACTGGGAGCCGACATCCTTGTCAATGTTTGAGATGCGGTTGAAAAACCACTGGCATCTACGAAGATAAAGACAACTGCAGGCGCTAGATGCAATAAGGGTACAAGGTGACTTGGATTGCTTCTCATATTTATTTATGTTATTTATTTATTTGGTACTTCTGAACTGCCCTTCAAGAGCCCGTGGGCCTACAGGAGGGTGCACCATGCATACATGCAAGAGCTCAAATGACACAGAATACAAAATTAAAAAACATGCCTAAAAAAGTAGGAAAAAAATTTACATATGTAATATCAACAGAATATGACCTCCGACAGTGGAAAACATACAGCGCAGAAACCTGTTGCCCCCATATCTGTTGTTTAAAAAACAGAAAGGAAAACATACAATCAATGTATACCTTGAGCAGGGCTCGCACGCTAAAACTTCCAGGCAAAAAAATATCCACCTCTGGAGAGTTCACTTTATTTAATATGCTAAAAGCCTACCGAAAAGTTTCCAGATGTGAGAAGTCACTTCGTTTTTGGCGGTATGGTGCTCCATACATTTGCTTGCTCAAATTTGATTACCGTAAAGTTCCGAGAGAACGCCCCCGCCCGAAACCTCGCCCACCCACCTTTTTGGACGAAATATATATTTTAATAAAGTTCCCAAACATCGCCCACCCCCTAAAAATCGCAGTAGCTTCGACGCATTCGAAAGCCCGGGAAGCCCCCGCCGCGAACATACCTCTGGAAAAACCGATGACTCGTCCGCAAACACCGCCAGTGACCCGATTTCTAACAAAAGAGAAGATCTTTTCCGGTTAGATTGATAAGATAAGGGCGAACTAGAAGTGAATCATTCAAGACGTCCGGGTACAAAGGAAAAGAAGAAACAGCTCAAGCAAACAAACTCCACACTAGTAGACAGTCATTCCTCTGCGTGCCCCGCAGCTGTTCACCTGCCCTCGCTTCCAGCATCGACCATGAGGAATAGCTACACCATCCAGAGAAAGGTGGAAGTTGTCCAGTGGCACAAGAAGAATGGAGACAACGTAAGCAAAACTGCAAGACATTTTGAGCTGGACAGGAAACGTGTTCGCGAATGGAGCACCAACTACCAGTCCCTTCTGCAGCAGTGCCACGGCAAAAACAAATTCAAGAGAGCCATCAACAACGGACGGCCGGTCTTCAGCGAAGAGCTCGATGAAGCACTCATGGACTTCTTGGATACCGAGCGGGCGGCAGGGCGAGCGGTGAGCAACCGCGTCCTTCAAGAGCACGCACGCAAGTTGGAGGTTCAGATGAACCTGGGCAACTTCGAAGCTTCGAACCACTACCTGGCCCGCTGGAAAGACCGCTTCAATGTGTCGATGCGAGTGGGGACGAACGAGAGTCAGAAGCTGCCGGCTGACTACGCTGACGCAATCTCCGTCTTCCGGAGGGCTGTGGGAAGCCTGCGCCTGGAGCACAGTTACTCCAACTTTAGTATAGCCAACATGGACCAAACCATGGTACGCATGGACTGCCCAGCCAAGCGGACAAACAACGTTGCCGGCGAATCAAGCATCCGCATCGTGAACACAGGCTGTGCGCGTCGTGGACTGACGGTTGCACTCTGCAACAGCTGCGGGCATCAAACTCCCGGCTCTCATCGTGCTCAAGGAACCGACGGGCCGGATCCCGCCAAGGGCACTGTTCGCACTTCAAATCCCAGGTATTGTCTCAATTTCCGCGTGCGGCCAATGTTACTTCTGGTTTGCCCAAACAAATTTCAGCATAAAAATAAGTTGAAAACATGCACTCACGCCTTTCGCATAAAAAAAAAAAAAAAAGTTTTAGGACAGCGTTGTTTTGTGAACGATATAAAAAGCGCCTTCCACATGTATTTGTGCATTTCTAGTAGAGGGCGCTGCATGGGTTCGTCACAAGTTTTGTTTTTTCATCAATACCGTCAATACTACGCGGCGATGCGGCGATGCTTTCGTGTTTGCGGCTGCTCCGGTTGTTGGTGGTTGGCTTTGCCGGAGTTTGGAATGAAACCGAATCTCGGCTCCTTTCAGAAAATGTGAGAGTGACCTGTTCAAGGAACGGATGGATGACTACGCCGGTCTTCCTCGAATGGGTGCGGAGGGTGTGGGGTGCCAACAAAGACGACGTGAGGCGGCTGCTCGTCTTGGACCAGGCGCCCATTCACAAGACAGAGGCAGCGCGGGAGGCCCTCGACGGGAAGGAAACCGACGTTGTCTTCATTCCTGGCGGGTGCACGTCTATTCTCCAGCCAGCAGACGTGTGCTGGATGAAGCCCTTCAAAGATGCTCTCAGGAATCGTTGGTCCTCCTTCTTGCGGGAAGGGGCTGTCACCGCCAAAGGGAACCTCAAGAAGCCGTCGCGTCAGGATGTCGTCAGCTTCGTGTCCGAGGCTTGGGCATCTCTATCGGAGGAGGCCGTCCTGACGTCGTTCAAGCGCTGCGGCATCTCAACACGCCTCGACGGCTCAGAAGACGGGGAGTTGAACCACCGCCTGGCCTCTGTAAGCGACGAACCAGCGATGGGGCCCGAAGCTCGGGAGAGCATAGTGGACGAAGTAGTGCAACTCGTCTTTGACAGCGACAGCGAGGAGTCGTTCGATGGATTTAGCGATGACGAGTGAGCAATAAATGCGTATGCACCGCTGATCTGTCAAATGCAGCCATTTTTTTTGTAGTTTTTGGCCCTTGGCCCGAAACTTCGCCCACCCCATGTTTTTCACCATTTATCTCTTAGTTTTGGGTGGGCGTTCTTTCGGAACTTTACGGTAAATATAAAACTTCACCCAGAAAGATATGAAAGAGATGGCGATTGTTTTTGCAAGCTTTGCATTTGAATTTGCACTGCTAGTGTGCGTAGCTCTTTATTTGTAAAACGATCATGCAATGTACCTTTATTTCGTGAACTGGGAGCCGGTGTCCTTGTTGACGTTTTAGGTGTCTGGAACGAACCACAGGCACCTGCGAAGATAAAGACAATTGAAGGGGCTACATGCAAGAAGGGTACATGGTGACATGGATTTTTCTCATATTTAGGTTCCTAGATGTGAAGAAAGCCACCTTGTTTTTGGTGGCATGGTGCTCCATATATTTGCTTGCCCAAATTTGATTAAATATAAAACTTCAGCGCTCACACGGAAATGAAATTAAAGTTAATTGGTTCTGCAAGCTTTGCACCTCAACTTGCAGCAATATGTGCATAGCCCCTCATTTGTAAAATGGCCATACATTATAGGTTGTTCGCACATAACGTCAATTTGGCATTTTGTTGTTAGCTTGTTTTTTCACACAAATTTACTACATTGAAGGATAACATCGTAACCGGTTGAGATGATGTCAGCGGTGCTCTACGCATTTGAGGGGGCGTGTCAATCCTTGGAATGCTCGAGTTTGGCACACGCCAGACAGCTCACAACAACAAAATGGTGGACGAAATTACGTCAGTGAAAACACCCTATAGCTACCTTTATCTTGTGGACTGGGAGCCAGCGTGTTTATCGAAGTGCTAGACGACTGGGACGAACCACTAGCACCTGTTTGGAGATGTCTGATTAAGTTGGGAATTGGTAACATTAGAATACAAAAAGCGAAAAACAATATAAGTGGTTTTCAGGAGAAACTGTACCTCGCATTAGTGCAGCTTGCGACATTTCACTGTGTATTGATCTTGCCGGGCTCGCACTCTGTGATTCCAGTCTCTGGCTACTGGCTGTGAAAAGCGACCAGAAAACCTCAAATTGTAAGATGAAAAAAGTACAAATTGATCTCCCAAAATATAAAAAATGCAGTTGTGCCCCAACCCCCTATATAAGCACATTGTTTACGTAAAACGACAGATCAAGTACGTCTGACGACACACCCTAGACTTATCAAGTGCCAGGTTCGAATTCTAAGCTAAAGGTTAAGAAACAGTTGCAACGGTCAACAAGGCTGTCAGCTGCAGAACAAAATAAAAATCAAATAGCGTTACGCGAGTTCTGCCGTGCGCAGAGCGGCATCGGGGCTTCCGGGAATTCATCCGAGCTTGAGTCGGACTCGCTCCAGCGTGTGGGGCGAAATCTCCTACGCTTTGGGCGTATCTCCTCGTCCGAGAGATCAGATGTGAACCGCGACCGCTCCAACTTAGATCGCCCTTCTTCGTAGGAATCTGTAGTTACATAAGAAAAAAATACTTACAATTAATGAACACTGCTGCACGCATGAAGAGATGCAATATACTCACTGAATAGTCCTTTCACAGTCACCTCGAACTCAGAAAACCCTGGTCCTGGTGGCCCCCCCTTTCGCACTAGCTTGACAGCCTTATCGGTGGACACCTTCGGCCATAAACAGTTGTTTCCCGTGACCCACGTGCAAGGCACGATCTCCACCTCTTGGGTTAGCCTAAATTCCACAATTGCATACATCCCTGAAAATGAACAGAAAAACTGATGTGAGAAAGTCATCAACACTAACCGGATCTAAAAAGTTATGCAAAAGCTAAACATTTACCTTGAGCTGCTGAAATGGCGGCGGTTTCACGGTACCGTCGCTTTCACCGACAGTAAAACGTAAAACTTGGTCGTGGTAACACCAGAGTCCAAACCACGCGCTCCTAGAGCCGACAATGCACAAATATCGATGGATTTCGTTGGCTATGGATTTTAACGGATATGTGACACTAGCGGCACCTAGAAAAGTTGAAAAGTACATGACGTCGGGGTTAAACATCAATAAATAAATAAATTGGTAGCGTTTGTTTTATTCGTACATTAGTTTGGTGACTCATAAATTTAAACAAATCTCCACAGACAAATTATAACTGCACGCACTGCACGGTCGTATCGTCAACGTCATCCCTCTACGCGTTGCATAACGCGCTGACTTCTTGAATTGCAGCTTACGCCAACACGCTCGTCAACAAGCAGTAAAATAATCGTGCCCAATTTTGAACAACAAACAAGAAAAGTAGCGAGAAGAATATTCTTATTGAATCATATCCCGTCTAACCACTCCCGCCTTGGCTGGCAACCCGAGTTTCGAATTTGTTCTTTTTTGTTTGTTGCTTTCGTGTCCACGTTGTTGCTGTCGCGTGTCGATACAACGGTGTCACGAAATTTTTTTATTTCTGTTTTAAGTAGTATTGTGTTTATGTCGCAGTACTGACGGACAATTTTACAGAAGAACTGTTCGTCTAGTTGAACCATCTGCTTGAGTTGTCCATTTCGGGTTAGTACTTGCTTTTCATACCACGTTGTTTTTTTCCGTCCCCGTCTGTTTTTGTGTAGCTCGAAATTCAATCCGTTCGTGTCTTCGTAAGAAGGGGTAATACGGACGTTGGATAGCGTTTCGGAACTTTGGTTCACCTAGTTGAACGGCCTACTTGTATCCATTTTTAGGAAAGTTTAGTCTCATTCTGAACCGCTTCGTTATTTCGCGCATATCATCCGTACCACGCTTTGTTTTTTCCGCCCTCGCCCGTTCCCGTCTGGCTGGAACTTCATTTCGTTTGTGCTTTCGTTTGTAGCCTCCTGGAGGCTTTGTGCATGCGTCTGGCAGTGTCGGGCAAGTTTCATTCACCAGACGGCCCATTTAGAGGAGTTAGTTTAGTCTTGTTATTTGAAGGAGTTTGAGTATTTCGCCCGTATCATCTCTAATGCACAGGTAATCATGCCCAAAGTCAAAGAAAAGTCCTACACACTCAAAAAAGCCTCACAGAAAACAAAGGAGATATTTGAAAACTTTGGGCACCCTTGCTTCCAGCAAGTTACACTACCTGTGCTAACGGATGCCATAGACAAAAATGGCTCATGTACATCAGCAGCACACACATGCAGTGGCAGCGTCTCTGCCCTTTTGAGTTCAGATTCATGCGGCAGCCAAGATTGCAGCAACGAGGGACTACCTGTGGCTCAGGGTGGTGATGCAGCAGCTCGGCTACCAATTACGCCCTTAGAAGTGGCACAGATCGAGTATTCGGATGCGGAGGAGATAGAGGATAGTGTGCCTTACTCAGCTCTTGCGAGTTACAGTCCTCATTCCAAGCCTACTTTCTCTGGCTGCGTAAACACGGAGCCAGTTGCTGGATCTGGTAATTTGGCTGCAGAACTGAAGACTTGGGCTCTCAAAGAGAATATTCCACAGACCGCTGTAACGTCCCTCCTTAAGGTCTTGAAGTCACGACCTTTTGATCCAGCATGTCTTCCGAACGATGCTCGCACTCTACTCGGTACACCTAGAGACACGATGCGTACTCCAGCTGTAACTGCGATGCCCCCGGGAGATTACTGCCATTTCGGGCTGGAGTACCAGCTGAGAAATATCCTCTCACATGCACATTTTGAAGGTAGGTCTATTGCCCTGTCTTTCAACATCGATGGATTACCCATTTCAAAAAGCACAAAGATGCAGCTGTGGCCCATCCAGTGCATGGTTATTGAACTTGGCAAGGCAGCCCCTTTTGTTGTTGGTGTTTTTGCGGGAGAGTCAAAGCCAGCATCGGCAAATAATTTCCTGGCTCCTGTTGTGGGCGAGCTGCTACAGCTTTTGTCTCAGGGAATGAGCTTCAAGGGGCAGATGATAGAGGTCTCGGTGAAGAGCTTTATTTGTGACGCACCTGCACGGTCGTTTGTGTACAGCATTAAGGGTCACACAGGATACTCGGGATGTCCGAAGTGCATTGCAGAGGGCACATATACAAACAAAAAGGTTTTTTATCCATCGAAAATTTCCACCCTGCGGACTGATGATTCTATAAGGCGCCAGACGGATCCCGATCATCATCATGACGTCTCAGCCCTGACGGAGCTTCCAATCGACTGTATCAGCACCGCGCCCCTTGACTACATGCATTTGCTATGTCTCGGTGTTCAGAAGAAGCTGCTCGGCTTATGGTTGGGTGGGCCCTTAGATGTGCGCCTTGGCCCTGTAGGCCGAAAGCGATTGTCTGACCTAAACCTTTCTTTAGTTGCACACGTGCCTGGAGAATTTGCACGTAAGCCGAGAGGCACAGCAGAGGTCGACCGGTGGAAGGCGACAGAGTTTAGACTTTTCCTTCTTTACACTGGGCCGGTAGTACTTAAGACCGTTCTGTCCCCTGACCTTTATAACAACTTCCTTGCTTTGCACTGCGGCACATTTCTCGTATCGAGCCCAACTTTGTGTCATCAGTACGTAGATTACGCAGAGTCACTTTTCCAGCACTTCGTGAAAACGTTCGCAGAACTCTATGGAGACGACCAGGTGTCTTACAACATCCACTGTGTCTTACATCTTGCAAGTGATGTGCGCAACCAAGGTCCGCTAGATACGTTTAGTGCGTTTCCTTTCGAAAATAACATGCAGTGCCTGAAGCGACTCCTCAAGAGTCATAATACTCCACTGGCTCAACTGTATAACCGTCTGAAGGAGCGTGAGGGCATGGCGGCGACTGCCAAGACACCTCTGGATTCTGTCCAGCTTGGAAAACAGCATACAGATGGGCCTCTCCCGCCCGATTGTACACCACCCCAGTACAAGTCTGCAACCTTTGCTGATTTCATGCTCGCCGTAGACTTGGCCAACAACTGCTGTATGATTGATGACGCTATTGTCCTCGTAGACAATTTTGCGCACTCTAGATCTACACAGGCGCCTTGCATCATTGGTCGAGAACTCGTCGTAAAGGAAAACTTCTATGATAAGCCATTTTTATCGGGTACCATTGGTGTTTTTGTAGCCTCCCAGCCTTCTTACACAAAATGCTGGTCATTGAAGAATGTACGTAAATTGGTCCGGTTGCCTTGGGGAGCGAAATCGGTGGTCATTCCACAGCTGCATACACTTTAACTCCACGCCTGGGGCCAGCACCATCCATTCTGCCACTGAAAGCTACAGGTATGTTGACGGTGTATGTGAAAATAACCCTCACTCCTGCCTTTGTCAACGTGTTTTCTTAGAGCTGCACGGTGGAGAGGGGTTTCCCCACGCCTGGGTCAAGCACATCCAGTCTGCTGCTGGGAGCTACAGGTATGTTGATGGTGTACGTGAAAACAACCCTCACTCATGCCTTTGTCAACTTGTTTTCTTAGAGCTACACGGTGGAGAGGGGTTTCCCTCACGCCTAGGTCAAGCACATCCAGTCTGCCGCTGTGAGCTACAGGTATGTTGACGGTGTACGTGAAAATAACCCTCACTCATGCCTTTGTCAACTTGTTTTCTTAGGGCAGCGCAGTCAAGAAGGATTTCCCCACGCCTCGTCCAAGCACCATCCAGTCTGCCGCTGTAAGCTACAGGTACGTTGACGTTGTACGTGACGATTGCCCGCACTTATGACTTTGTCAACTTGTTTTCTTAGGGCAGCACGGTCAAGAAGGATTTCCCCACGCCTCGTCCAAGCACCATCCAGTCTGCTGCTGTAACCTACAGGTATGTTGACGTTGTATGTGACGATTGCCCGCACTTATGACTTTGTCAACTTGTTTTCTTAGGGCAGCACGGTCAAGAAAGATTTCCCCACGCCTGGGTCAAGCACATCCAGTCTGCCGCTGTGAGCTACAGGTACGTTGACAGTGTACGTGACAATTGCCCTCACTTATGCCTTTGTCAACACAGGGGTTTCCCCACGCCTGGGTCAAGCACATCCAGTCTGCCGCTGTGAGCTACAGGTACGTTGAAGGTGTACGTGAAAATTGCCCTCACTTATGCCTTTGTCAACTTGTTTTCTTAAGTCTGCACGGTGGAGAGGGGCTTCCCCACGCCTGGGTCAAGCACATCCAGTCTGCCGCTGTGAGCTACAGGTACGTTGACGGTGTACGTGAAAATTGCCCTCACTTATGCCTTTCTCAACTTGTTTTCTTAGGGCTGCGCGGTGGAGAGGGGCTTCCCCACGCCTGGGTCAAGCACATCCAGTCTGCCGCTGTGAGCTACAGGTACCTTGACGGTGTATGTGATAATTGCCCTCACTTACGCCTTTGTCAACTTGTTTTCTTAGGGCTGCACGGTGGAGAGGGGTTTCCCCACACCTGGGTCAAGCACATCCAGTCTGCCGCTGTGAGCTACAGGTACGTTGACAGTGTACGTGACAATTGCCCTCACTTATGCCTTTGTCAACTTGTTTTCTTAGTGCTGCACGGTGGACAGGGGTTTCCCCACGCCTGGGTCAAGCACATCCAGTCTGCCGCTGTGAGCTACAGGTACGTTGAAGGTGTATGTGAAAATTGCACGCACTCATGCCTTTGTCAGCTTGTTTTCTTAGGGCTGCACGGTGGAGAGGGGTTTCCCCACACCTGGGTCAAGCACATCCAGTCTGCCGCTGTGAGCTACAGGTACGTTGACAGTGTATGTGATAATTGCCCTCACTTATGCCTTTGTCAACTTGTTTTCTTACGGCTGCATGGTGCAGAGGGACCTCCCCATGCCTGGATTTTGCACCATATGTTCATAACACACTTAAACTTCCCTTTAGATGACAGGGAATAGCTTTTCCCCGTCATCTACAGGTAGGTTTCAGTGTGTTGTGAATATGCACTCATACCTTCGTCAATTTGTTTGCTTGGCGGGGGAGAGGGGGAGCCGTAGCGGCCTCCCTCCACCGAGGACTAGCACTTCGTCACTCGTCCGGTTAATTTGCGATAGTTACCGGCACTGGTATCTTAAGCTTTTCTCGCTAGGCATGAGATTGCTTTTCCACGACACAGCCAATCTGGTAGATAACATAGGCTAAAAATACTGAAAAAGTCTCTAGGCACAAGTGCCATTCATATAGTCCAATTAATATAATTAAAGCATATTTCTTTCATTTGTTTACAGACGGACACTCCCTCCAA